AACACCAAAAGAAGCTAAATAATGGATGCAAGAGAGTTAGGGTTGATTGAGGGTGTCTTTGGGGTGATGGAGGTTGAGGGTAGTCGAAACCCTATCCCCCATAATCCTTATATAGGGCCCAAAGCCCAAAACTTAGGGTTTTGTGCATCATACAACGTCGCGCCAAGGTCGCTAAATGATGTCGCGTCGTAGAGACGTGGCACCACGACAATACGTTCACCATGCCGTGGACACGACAAAATTCCCAAATTTAGCATTTAAATATAAAAGAATAACACCTGAAAATTCGGATGTTACAGAAAAAATGAAAATAAAGTCTTGACCTATATATCTAAATTGTTTTCACGTTACAAATTAAAAAAAGAAAAAAAAACAAACAAATAAACAAACAAACAAAACAAAAAACAAAAAAACTTAAACCAAAAATACCTTTCGTTGATGTTGAAAAATTTACAAAACAATCTCAGTACAAACTCATGTCACTAGATATGCCCTAGGCATGTAAAGGGTGTACAACCGCACAACTTGTGTCGTTTAGGGGCCCATAGTTTTTACGTCAATTAGTTTTAGTGATAGTTTAGTGACTAAATATTAATAGATCAGCTAATTAGATTAGCAAGAATTTTTATTGGTATTAACTTTATAACATTTATCGACTTACCATTAATTTTTGCTTATATAAAAAATATATATTTAGGAGCCTCTTTTTCAATTTTTACTTTTCACACAAGTCTTCAAAATCATCGAACCGCTCCCGGCTCTCACATTCATACAAATGACGTAATGATCTAAAGACTCAACAAGAACTCTTAAGCTACAAAGGACCCTATTAAAGACGATGCAAAGAAAACGTAAACATAAGAATAAATTAAAGAGACTTATAACAATAAAATGAATTTATTCTCACAACTCTTGGTATCTAACTAATATATAATGTATAAACTTCACCCACAATTCAATTTCAATATACATAACGTGAGTTCCGCAAAATTATCTAGAAACTGGTAATTGGTTGTTAGCAATTGACAGCTGATAACTAATAGTTGGAGTTTTTAATTGTATATCTCAGTGATCGGCAAAAAAACTAATTGAACATCGAGTCCTTCAACTTCCATATTTTCCACATTAAGACCCTAACAATTTTACAATGTCCCAAGCGTACCAACTCAGACAAAAAAACCTCTTTTGTGACAATGTCAAGTTTGAGGCAAGTTTATTATATCTTTTAAAAGAAACAAAGCAACTCAACACAACTTTTTTTTTTTATATATATATATATATATATATATATATATATATATATATATATATATATATAGTAGGTTATAACCCGTGGACTCCACGGATGAGAAATTTAAAAATAATTTTAATTAAATTATAACTTAATTATTAATATAATAACATGTGTCAGTGTTATAGTAGTAAGATAGATGGTGTTAAGTCGTATGTTATTTTTCTACATTAAATTGAAAAAGTGAATTTTGTCCTCATAACAAAAATGAAAAAAATAATATGCAATTAAAATAAAATTTGTAGACTATTGTCAAACAAAGAAATTTGAAATCGATTTTATGTTAAATGTTGTTATCAATTTTAGTTTGTGAAACAAATACCATATACACATGTGAGTATCTTTTTACCGGTTGAAGTACTACAATTATGCAGCAACTTACATACATCTATTTACATTTTATAACATCATAGTTTCGTATGTATATATTACAAAGATGTATTTTTTCCATTTTATGGCATTGTTACAGTTAAGAAATCATTATATAAAGTATGGAGCTATAATAGAAAATAATTCTATAAAAAATATGCCTCTAATAGGAAAAACTGAAATTTGAATTGTTTAAACAATTATTAAAAATTGATATATGACGTTAATAAGAAATAAGTAGAAATACAAAAATACGAAAAGTATAAGTAAGTTAACAGTAGGGGTAATATGGTCTTTATTTAATTTAAAAATGCTAAAATCGTATTTAAAAAAGTGCAATATATAACTTTTAAAACATAAAAGGAGAATTATGTAACACGAGGTAAAAGATATCAACAAATGCCACTTACCTTAGACTCTTTAAAAATGTTACCACTATGTAATCCTATATTGGAAAAACATAAATAATTAAACTATAGTTAAAAAATATTATAATATCATGAAAGTATGATGCTATAATATCATAATAATAAAATAATAACAAAAATACATTACTTTGGCCTTTTAAAAAGTTAAATTATGATGCTATAAAACCGTTGAAACAAAAAACAATTTCTATAAATGAAAAAATTAAAGAGATAAAACTTTTTGACCATTATTAAAAAAAAATACAACTTTGTTTAAATGAAACCCTTCATGTTATAAAACTGTTAAAACAGAATATCGTATGACTTCCAATGTTTGATACTGTAACCTCTATTGTGAGGTCCATAACCCAAAAAATATCCATTTACCAAACTTATAACCTCTATTGTGAGGTCCATAACCCAAAAGATATCCATTTACCAAACTCAATGCATGTATAGCCCTTAAAACATATAAATTATACTTCAACCAAGACAAAAAAGTCAGAACAACTTTTCAACTATGAAACTCTTAAATGATGCTATAATATGAGGATAATAAGACAATAACAAAAGTACATTGTCATTTTTTCCCTTTTGAGTAAAAAAAAAAGTTCTTGTTATAAAAATGTTAGAACATAAAAGTATGATTCTATAAATGAAAAACAAATTTTCTTTTGTCATAACTCAAAACTGTTACAACAAACATATGATGCTATAAATGAAAAAACTAAAAGCACTTTATGGAAAAACAATTTCTGAAACATATTCATTTATCAAAGTATGATGTCATAACCTCTATTGCGACCTTTATAATCCAAACAATATCCATTTACAAAACTCAGTGAATATGAAGCTTCAAGTTCTTCGGTTCAAGAGTTTCTTTCCCCCATCTCAAGTAGAAAAAAAACGACCCAACACAAGCCACCTAACCAAAAAGGACAAAACATAAGAGTGATATAAAGGCCAACAGATAGCTGGAAAAATAAACATGAATACAAAGGAAAAGAGCAACCAACCAAAGCCAATACACGACACAAGAAACCAAACTAAACAAATCAACATGAACTACAATAAAAAAACCACAAAAAGGAAACCAAGCCTAACCAGGACAAAAACAGACCAACACCATCCCACAGAACTAAACTAAAATGAAAAATTGTGAAGAAAAGCAAAATATGACAATCACACAAGAAGCAAGGGCAAAACCGTCAACCAAGCTAAAAAAACTCACCAACAGCTAGAAGAAAGTAAGAGCAAACCAACAAATGCACATCCCATGAACTATTAAGCATTAACTGTGAAGATCAACCATAACCACCCTCAACATAAGTGTGCAACACACAAGGGCAAAACCGTCACTAACATGCTTAAAAGTAATGATAAAATAAATGAAAGAGGATGTTTAGTATAAATGCTATTTTTGGGTGGCATCAAAACCATTTCACATTTATTTTAATTTTTACTTATTAAAACTTGTAGTTTAAAAGTAAATTGCTATTTTTGGGTGGCGGTTTTCAACATATACCCTCCCAATTATAGCCTTGTACCTTAAAAGTATAATACTATTTTTGGGTGGCAATTTTCAAGAAATACCCAAATATAGGCTTATATCTTAATATTTTTTTTATCTTTCTTGTCCCCACGGTTACACTATGGTTCTAAATCATCACCACAAGCTATGGAGTTTAAATATAAAAAAGAAAAACACTCAGGGCATTAAACCATAACATCTACCAAATGGGTTCATCTTAATCACATAAGGAACCAAAAACCTAAAGAAAAATAATCACATTCTAAGAATTTGTAAAAAATGAAATCACTCAATATATATAAAAAAAAATTAAAAAAAAAAGATGAAAGAAATTATATGAGCTTATCAATAAACTTGAAAACATATTATAAACATGTTTAGACTAAAAAATGGACGAATTGTTATTTTATGAGATCATTGAGTTGGAGCGAAATAAAGCCCCACAGCACAACAAAAACAATCAAAGCTTTCAACAAATTACCTACTTATCCAAACCATACTGTTTAGTCCCAAATGTTTTGAAAATTATAACCATAAACAACTCTTGACGAACAACCTAAACTAATAATTATAATCCTTATATAATTTCATTTCAATGAAATCATTAATGAATAGATAAGTAGAGAACAAACACACTTCTCCAATCACGTATAAGAACTTAATCATCATATAAACAAAACCAATGTCTTTTTTAGGTGGGGGCTCACATTTGGAATGCATTTTCAAAATGCCATCTTTGTAAACGCCCATTGATTCCTAATGGTCCTTCATCACCATCAATCCGTGTGTTGTTCATTCGCTCAAAATGTCATATTTCTAACATATTCAAAAGAATAGTGAATCCCTTAAAGTAATAATCACATTTAAGAATCACAATATAAAACAAAAGGAAGGATAATTTCATTGGAGCAAATAAAAATTGTCAAAACCTAATTTGAATGGTTTTTCATGTACTTATGATGTGTGTGAAACCTAAAATCTATAGAGAATACCAAATTAACATCCTCATTTTTCTTAACAACAAATACCTTCTACGTTTCCTCAAAGATTTAAAATCAAATTCATGTACATTGAAGTAGATAGAATAGAAACAGAAGAACAATCAAATGTAGACAATAGTTACTTCCAAACCTAAATAAATCGTTATAATAAAATCAAGTTAAAAGTTTTCACAAAATAAATAAATAAGTAGGTATCTCATACGTACCATTCATGGATGAAATTGCATAACCCAATTTCAAACTTTGTACTCCTATCACATCTCCCTTTCGACCCTTGGTTGGAGTGTCGTTGCTATCACCAGTTTTGAATCAACATTAGGGTTAAACAACTTCCATTAGCAGCACAATTGGTTGTGGGTGGAGGCGCAACAAATCAAGAAACCGAAAAAATAAATAAAAGGATGGAGGTGGAGTTGCAATCGTATAAGAAGGTGAAATCATACCAAACAAAACGCTATAATCTAGGGATACTGATTGACGAAATTTTAGGGTAACATTTTGGGTTTTTTTGGATTTAAAATATGAATTTGAATGATCAATTAGGTGCCTGATTTTTTGGATACTAACACAGGAAAGATTCAAATTGAAATTGAAATGGATTATATTGGATTTTGTCAAAGGCTTTTTGAATGAGCGTGAAAATGAAAACCCGATGCATAGAATAATGCCACGTGGCAAATTAAGGTGTAGAAAGTATGACATGTGGCTCCTTAGAGAGTCTTTTATTAGGAAGATATATATATATATATATATATATATATATATATATATATATATATATATATATATATATATATATATATATATATATATATATATATATGGCTATGAATTTGGGTCGATTCAATTTATCTAAAGAATTTAAAAAAGTTTACATATAAGTAAATAAATCATTTTCTACTTGAAATTATCAGCTTTAACATCAGTTTTTTTATGTAGTGTGTCACCCATTTAATCAAAACGGATTTGAAAAGTTATACCAAAGCTCCAAACCATTTATCTCATATGCGCACTATTAAGGTGTCGTTTCAGCTTTTGCCGCGTCTTGTGCTTTTTTTAGCTTATTGCTCCGAAGGAGGAGCCAAAGTTCACCCACACTTACGTTTTAAATGATAATTAATGAACATGACGATTTTAAATTCAAAAACGACGAATTATTTCCGACGACTACTCAACGAGTACTTAAGTTTCTACAAATTTTACACCAGACACTCACACTTTACTCAATCAGGTAAACGTCCTTCATCTTAATTCTTACATTTGATTTGATGCTCATATATATTTCGATCATTGTATCTGAATTTGCATGTTGTTTGCTACCAATTGATCTAAATTTTTATGCATGTTGATGGTTTGTGTATTGTAAATCAATCTTGGGCTCTAGCTTAAGAATATTGATTACTGAATGAAAAATCTTAAACAAACAAATGGAAAATCAAGTTCATAAAAGAACTAATGAACATTGTTATCCTGCGAGTTGATATGAAGTTGATTATAAACTGATTGTTTGTTTGTATGAATTAGGTGTCGCTGAGGATCATAATCAGTGCTTGTTTTCCAAAGATTATAATGAGTGTGGTTGGACTTGATATTGGGAATGAGAACTGTGCTATTGCAGTTGCAAAGCGTGGTGGAATCGATGTGTTATTGAATGATGAATCGAAGCGCGAGACGCCTGCTGTGGTGTCATTTGGTGAGAAGCAAAGATTTTTAGGTTCCGCAGGTGCTGCATTTACTACTACAAATCCGAAATCAACTATTTCTCAAATCAAGAGAATGATTGGAAAGCTTTATAATGATCCAAGTGTGCAAGAAGATCTTCGATTGCTACCTTTTGACACCAGTGAGAGCTCCCATGGTGGTATCTTGATCCATGTAAAGTACTTGAGTAAGATATGGACCTTTAAGCCTGTGGATATTTTAGGGATGCTATTCGCACATCTGAAGAAAGTGATAGAGAAGAACACAGGGTCCCCAGTTATAGATTGCGTGATTGGAATTCCATCGTATTTTACAGACTTTCAAAGGCGTGAATACCTTAATGCTATTCGCACATCTGAAGAAAGTGATAAGCCACTAATGTTGATGTGATCATTGGACTTTTTGTATGCACCCTTAAGCAACTTTTTCGTGAATATTGCATTATTATGTTTTTAAGGGTTTGTCATTTATATGACTTTCATTTTCAGGTTCAGGATATATTTCCTTTCTCAATTGGACTCCGTTTCCATGATGGTGAAAACAAAAGACACCAAGAGTATAATCCTTTTCCAAAAGGCATTCCATTTCCATGTAACAAGACACTTCCATACCATGGATGGATTAAATGTTATTGTCAGTTCTTCTACACCAACAACACGGGCTTCCTTGTTGGAGTATCACTTGATATTGGTTATTTTATGGTAAATTTGTCATGCATATATATTAGAATGTTGCATCTTTTCAAGGCATTTCTACTTACACTTGGATCACTTTTGCTAATTCATATCTTAATGTTTATTGTTAAATATTCTTTTAGATTGGTCCTTCTCAACCTCCGATTGCAGAGAAAGTGGTGCTCAAAGTTAAAATGCATCTTAACATCAATGGAATTGTTGAAATTGAATCTGCATTATTGGTAAGTAATTTGTTGCCTAAATTACCAAAATATTCAACATGGATTAATTAATCCTGATGTGGGAATGACCTTATGTTTTCTTTTATTCATGGCTTCAGATTTTAGAAGATAAAAACCTGGACAAAACTCTTACTGATCGCAAACACACTGGCTCAAGCCTCTCAACTTCACATTATGTAAGTGATACTTTGAATCATATCAAAGTTTTTAGGAAAATCTTTATGTATAAACTGGATATTGTTTCACCATGCAGACTGGGGAAGCAAGAAAAGGTTGGGTCAGGAGGCAAAACGTTCCAGTTTCTAAGAATTTGAATGTTGTGATAACGAAAGATGAGCTAAATGTAGTTCAAAGGAGATTACAAATGTTTGAAGAACATGATATAAAAGTGGAGAAAACCAAGGAAATAAGAAATATCCTAGAGTCTTTTATCTATGACACTCGTACCAAGGTACATGTTTCTTTTAAAAGTTGTTGACATTTTAGATTTTGGTTATATGGATTGCATACAAACTGACCTTTTATTTGTAATTTAGTTTCAGAGTTCTTATCGTAGTGTCACTACAGATTCAGAGGCGGAAGAAATTATTAAAAGGCTGCAAGGAACAGAAGACTGGCTATACGAAGATGGTGATGATGAATCTGAACAAGTCTATATTGGAAAACTCGAAGATCTCAAAAAGGTTTATAAGTAATCTAACGCAACTCTTAAACTGTGAACTTCCTTGTGAATTAACGCTTGCATGAATCATATGATGTTTTTTCATGTAGTTGTTACATCCAATTGAAAATCGATACAAGGATGAAACAGCTAGAAAAGAAGTAACGAAAGCTCTGCATACTTGTATTCAAGAAAACCGTTTTCCTGCAGATTCACTACCCCCTAGCCACAAAAAAGAGGTATAATCTTTGTTTTCTTATCACATTTAATATGGTTACCTTTCTCATGCTTTCAAATAATTATCACTCATTTTGTCAGGTGATTGATAAATGTACTCAATCTGAGTGGTGGCTGACTAATCTTTCTAAGCTTCAGGATTCATTGGCCAAGAACGCGACCCCCAGTTATTGCTCGAGTGCCATTAGTGGAATTATGCAAGCCTTTAGAAGGTTAGTTTCTACAGTTTGCTATGTACTTATGTGAATCCAGTCATTAAAGGTCAAGTTAAATTTTATTCGATTAACTTGAAATGTGTTAGTATATAGTTTTATTTCTTTTTGAATCAGTATATTCAGTAGGAACATACTACTTTTCTTATGTTAATGTACCTTAGTGCTATAAATAGGAGCTTAGCTTTTTATTTTCCGTAAGACTCACATTGAGTGTAGAGAATATTTTTTACTCTAACAATAATAAATAGAAATCGAACCTGATTATGTAGTTTTTGTTATTCTAAAGATAGTGTAACTTTGCTTATTGCGTATAGTGGATTGCATGTATTTTAAAAATTGCAAATCATTGCTGACTACTTTATTATGTAAATTTCATCAGTAGGTACAAGGCCATAATGAGATCGAAACCTTCACTCCCAAAGTGCAATGAATCTGTGGACTCTGATCGTAAGCGTGATCCTGATGGTATGCTAACTGATTGTTGATGTGGGTCTTTTTGGATTGGTGGGATCAAACACACAATCTTCTAGTTAATTTTCTTTCATGATTTCTGTTTTTGGAGTTACAATGCTTATGTTTGTTTTTGGGAATTCATATATGTATTAGACATATAGCCAGGCTTGTGAAAACACTTTGGTTAAGTGATATGAAAAATGCACACTCGTTAGCATTTCTGATTAATCATTCATCTTCTACTGGATACTTGATCATGAGAACAGACCTTCTTTATAGGGCCAATCTAAAAAATGACAAAAATGGGAGGGTTGTTATAGCTAGCAATAATTTAAACATTTGACAAATAGGACTAATCATTTTGCAGAAGGATCTTTGCCTTTCATGTTTTATGGGAAATCTGTCCATTACAAAGGCCATTGTAAATATAAATGACCGAAATGGGAGGGATATAGCAACATAAAACTCTTTTAAACATTTCTCAATGAATGAGTATGGAGACAAGTTTCGTAACATATATCTTTCATGCCTGCTTGTTTCAAGCTAACCGTGTAGCATTTGTGGTGGATATAATATAAATCAATGGCATTGTTTGGCCTATTTCATTTTAGCTTTGAACTAGGATCCGCCATGCATTGCGGTGATTGGCAGAGTTAGAAATTTTAATACGGAGATACAAACATTGTCGGTATATATTATATGTAGTTATCCGATATCAGACATTAAAAACATGCTATAATCTCTTTAGTTGAGGGTACAATAATACGAAGAATGTCTACAAATAATATATATATATATATATATATATATATATATATATATATATATATATATATATATATATATATATATATATATAACAATTTTTTTTTGGATACTATAGTATCCCAACGCCTGGCTTTAAATAAAGTAACACTTTCAATAGCAATAAAAACTTAGGACGGACAAGTTGTCAAACCTATTTATTCATGTCTAATATAAAAAAATATATGGTGATTCCTTTATGACCTAATATTCACTTAATTGATTTTGACAATTATTTGTAACCTAACATTACTAAGTTGAGGGGTGGTAGTTGAAGGAAAATTAGATTATATATATACTATGGGGGTAAATACAAATGTTTATAAAATGAGGGGGTTGAATGTGTCATTTTGCAAAGTAGAGGAGTAGAAAATGTGGGTGTATAAGAAAATTAGATAATATATATTACGGGGGAAACACAAAAGCTTAGAAAATAAATGGGTGAAAGTAATATTTTAAAAAGTTCAAAGTTGAGGCAGTGTAAGTGACATTTTACACAACATAGGTGAACAATATCATTTTACAAACTAGAGGGGTTGAAAATGCAGATATAAATATCGAAGGTGGTGGCATACATGTAAAACCATATATAACTTGAGCATGGATAATGAAATAGTTGTTTTCATTGTCGTGACAACGTCACAGTCATGGATTTCTGATGGATATGTTTTGACATTCTTTGACCACATTACCGACAAATTTATGATGGAAACCTTTACTGACGGAGTTCCAATGAACACTTTTAGCGATGGATTATCGATAAACACTTCCATGGAATTCCGATGATGATCATTTACGACGTTTGACATGGTTGGCAATGTCAATGACTAATATGCTTAACAAATATCGAAGGTGGTGGCATACATGAAAAATCATATATAGCTTGAACATGGGTAATGGAATAGTTGTTTTCATTGTCGTTCGTGACAACGTCACAGTCATGGATTTCTGATGGATATGTTTTGACCTTCTTTGACCACATTACCGACAAATTTATGATAGAAACCTTTACTGACGGAGTTCCAACGAACACTTTTAGCGATGCATTATCGATAAACACTTCCATGGAATTCCAACGATGATCATTTACGACGTTTGACATGGTTGGCAACGTCAATGACTAATATTACCGACAGATTTATGAAGATTTTGTTAACATTTCATAGTTTTTTCCGTTACTAAAATGAAGTTTTAGTTATTAAAAGTTTTTTTTTTAAATCCAATTTTTTCCCCTAAAAATGCAGAAAATACCAATATGTTACATGTATAATAATACAAGCATTTAGTCCAACACAACTGATTAAATATATAATAAAAAGTGTCCAAATACAATCTATATTTCAAATACATTACAAGCAAATATCAAATACCGTTACCACGTGTTTTGGAAGATAAAACTAAGAACTATTTGGCGGATCATCGGGTGGATTGTTTTGGTTGAAAAATGCCGCCAATTGTGCTATAAGTAAGGATTGCCTTCAAAGACTTTCACTTCCAGATAGGCTTGTCTTTGTTGCATCCAAATGTTTTCTTTGCCTTTGTTCCATTTCCAATTCCATTTGTGCATGGTTTTCTCTTTTAAAAACATGGTAAGACAAAAAAATGTAGTTTGTACATCTACTTAACCTTAAACTATTATAACAATGTACTTTAGTTTATTATAAAAAGATTGTAACATCTCAAAAATAATAATTAAATGTTTCATTTTTAATCGTCAAATTCACACGATATTTGTTCCAAAATCACTCGTAGTAAAATGTATCACAATCATTGGAATTAAATAAAAATCATCAGTACGAAAAATCATCAAGGGATGTTGTGCAGTCAAGCCAGACCCTTCTCTTTGGAACTTGAAGTACCTAAAAATGTTTAAACCACAAAACCAGCTGTAAGCATAAAGCTTAGTGAGTTCCCAAAATTCCGCATATCATACATATCAGTGGGCCCAACCCTAGGGGTGTATTTCAACCCTATGTGAAAGCTATGATTCAACCATAGTCTTATAGTCACTTCCATATTACAACCCAACCATAACCTTTATGTCATGATCCAACCATGGTCTTTCATGCAAGTCACAAAGACAAACAAGTGTTGTGATCCAACCACAGTATCACGTATAATCTCACATACATGTGTTGTGATCTAACTACAATTTTATGTTGTGATCCAACCATAGTCTTTCAAATAGTTATTGTGATCCAACCACAGTCTTTCATGCAAAAGTCACAGAGACAATATAACAACCTACATAGTATAGTAAGAAGACTCACATGTCTCATGAACTTAGATAAGCCACAAGTTGATGCCTTGAAATAGGTACTGCTACAATTCACCTATCGAATCAAATAAGGTCCAACCTTAGTCTATACTCCAGAGCTAGCAATTTGACCAAAAGTCAACCTTGGTCAACAAGTAAACGGTCAACATCTCCCACATCGTGACCAACCCTTGGTCACGCCGTGGGGAAAACAAACTTAGCCTAATCATAAACTCAATCATGATCCAACTAGATCACGATTCGCACTACCATTTTGTCGTGATGATCAGGCCATCACGTCATGTCACATTCAGTCCAAAATACCCAAGAAACCCCCCAGACGTCACGTCGTGATAAAGAGGCTGTTACGTCGTGAAATTAGGCTTTCCACAACTTAATGGATTCGACACTCCAACCATTAAGCCATCCAATCATTCCTTCCAGAAGGCTTCCTAACGTCCAAAACAACCTAAAGATCGATGTTTTTCATCCATGCATGGCCATTGTAAGTCTAAAGCTCAAGTTAGGTAAAAAATGGAGAGACAAAACCAAGAATCTCATGCATGGGTTCAATACACTAGCAAACTTCATATCCAAATCATATAACATTCAAAGGACCTCAAGGATCCATAAAGTTGGCAAGTTTATGGAATCCTATCATTTCAACTTGCTCAAACTTGAAGATAAAGGGACAAAAACTTAGATCTAACATCCTAGAAAAATAAAGTTTGGATCTTGAACACTTACAAAGGTCCAAATGTGCCAAAATGAAGTCCCACAACTTGTCAAGATGCTCATAACACTACCCAATCCTTCTTTTTCCTTTAAAAGCAACCAAAAGCACCAAGATGAGCTAAAAAATGGAGGAGAGAGATTAGGGTTTCTTCAAGGGGGTTAATAGGTGATGAAGGATGAGGGTGAAGGAAACCATATCCCCTAACTTCCTTTAAATAGGGTCCAAGTCCATAAATTAGGGTTTGTCCTTGATTAGGTGTCATATTGTGACCATCATAGTATCATATCGTGACACTTAAATGAGACTCGCGTCTCTTGCGACCATGGTACCGTCATGACAGTCCCTCCCCCATGTCATGACCCACTCAAAAATCATATTTTACTTAAAATTCCATACATCGATGATCCGTATGTTACAAAGATGTTATCAGTTTAATCCATAATAAAAACATATTATACTATTTTTATCTAGTATAGTAATGTATTTATAATAACAACATACTATATTTTTTATCCATAGTAACAATCAATTTAATCTATAATAAAAATATACTTCAATTTATTATAAGACCATATTATCAATTTAATCTTCAATAACAACAAAAGATACTTTATGTCCATTATAGCAATGAACTTATAATAACAACATACTTTGAGTTTTTTTTATCCATTGTAACAATCAATTTAAACCATAATAACAGCATGTTATACTTTATATCCATATATCAATTTAATCCATAGAAACAATATATTATACTTTTTTTCCATTATAGCAATATAATCGTAATAACATATTTAAGTTTTTATCCATTATATAGAAATCAATATAAGCCATAATAAAAACATATTATACTTTTATCCATTATTATGATGTAATTTACTTTATTTTGTGTGTTTAGTCCTTAACTCAGTTTTTGACTCCGACAGTCCCTATGATATGTTTTTGTTATGTCATTAATCATTGCAGTGACTTAAAAAGACTATTTTACGCTAATATATTTCTTTTTAAATTTTTGGTAGATTATATATTATTTTTTAAGCTTTTAAAAAAACTAAGTCATACCCACCCCTACGTCCTAGCTAAAGTGAACCATGTATTCTCTCTCCTACTCTCTCTCTCTCTCTCTCTCTCTCTCTCTCTCTCTAAACACTAAATCACCAAACATTAAGGTTGTCACCATCTATTATCGAACTATCGTCGCCTTATGAAACCGAACTGCCTTAGTTGCTGATCCACACCTTCCATCCACCACTACTCAATGTTCGCACCATACGTCACCGCTCCATTTCTGCACCATGAACCATGACTCGATTTCTGCTAGATATGTTTCCCACAATATCAATCTCCACCGGAAAAAACAAAGGTTTCA